CTTGCAAGAGCGGCACGTGCAACACGTGAAATGACCGATTTAATTGATATAGGCGTAACTTTTGTAATTTTTGATGAAATGCTTTGAAACTCATAATGTAAGGATATATTTGTAATATAGACAAGATGATATGGTCAAAATAGCAAGATCTTACGCGCATGCACGTGCGCTTTGTTCTGATTGGCTGAAACTAAAGTCTCAATATCTTTCTTGTTTTTTTGACAAAATCCTTTGAAATTTTGAACATAGCCATGCATTAGGGCATCCTACAACATGATATATAGAAATTATCATGAAAACACGTGCATGCACGTGTGCTGCAATCTGATTGGCTGAAACTTTAAATAGGTATAACTCCATTGGTTTTCAACCAAACAGGATGGGATTTGGAACATAGATTTATAAAATGGACTTCTACAGGAAGATATGGCCTATGCACATACATACACGTGCGTGTACTTGAGCTGCAATCTGATTGGCTGAAACTTTAAACAGTTATAACTCCCTTGGTTTTCAACCAAACAGGATGGGATTTGGAACATAGATGGATGTAATGGACTAATACAAGAAAGTTTGGTCACCATGCACATGCCTACACATGCATGTAAGTGCGCTGCAATCTGATTGGCTGAAACTTTAAACAGCTATAACTCCCTTGGTTTTCAACCAAACGGGATGGGATTTAGAACATAGATAGATGTAATGAACTTCTACAAGAAGGTATGGTCACTATGCTCATGTATGCACGAGCGTACACGTGAAATGAGCAAAATCAAAAATACACTTGAATGAGCCAATTTTTTTTTATATTTTTGGATTAAATACTTAGATATTTAGTATATTAAAATATATAGATTGTGTAGACAAGATGATATGGTCATTACGTACATGATTCACATGCGCACACATGCAATGCTAAAATTTTAATGAACATGGTACATTTCTGGGTAAACGTTGTTAAAGTCTTAAATGCATAGAGTTTGTGTTATATAATGAAGCTTACAGGGAATATGGCACCAAAAGGGAGTTGGCAGCATTTGGGGATCTGGCATGATTCGTCACAATTAGCACTAGTTAATTATTGATGTAGGCTATATTTCTTATAACCATTTGTGTTTGACATAAATAGTGCGACAATATTTAGACCTATTTGTGTGCATCTATACCCACATATCTTTGAGGAAATGCGGGAGGTTTGAAGACGTCTTTTACAACATAGATTAAATTTAATGTATACAATGTATAGAGAACGAATACACAAAATAGAAAGAAATGTCATGGATTTTTATGCATACCGTTTTGATTCAGTAAAAACAGAGTCCAGACCAGTTTGCAGGTATATATATTTAAAATTCACGCGGTAAACAAACTATAATATCAAGTACTACAGAGTTATCTCCCAGGTCAATGATGCGTTTGACAACTATAATTAGATTAAGACTTCCAAGATTTTAATCAAAATGTGCAAGGGCAAGGCGTCGATCTAAAAAGTAGGTTTTTATTTTAAATTATTTATTTTATTGTATAGTTTTCAAAAAGTGATGCTCATTTCTTTGTAATCCTTTTATTTTTTTATTTTATAATTCCCGTTGAAATTAGGAAAATACCCTATTTTTCATACACTACTGTATGTTTTAGCTCAATAACTTAACGACGTTCGATCCTGTTAATTTTAAGTCCACTGCGCAACTCCAACTGCCGTAATAAGGACACTATTGTTGTAATCGCGCATTGTGCAATAAATGCAGAAAGTATTCTGTATGTAAAAAAAAATAATTTACTCGATCTGTTAAATGAATAAAGTACATCTTTTTGCTATTTTTCCACTCAACTTTCTATTTGTCTCGAAGCGGGAAATTTTACGACATACCATAAGTGTCGTATGCTCATGACAGACCGAAACGACAAATGTAAACAACGGGAAATAAAATGGTTTTCAAAACAGAAAAGCGGAAAAAGCGAGATGAAAAAGTGATTGCCTCCACAAGAAGAAGATGGGAGAGGGAAAGACAAGGAGAGGCGGTAGTGTTGGAGCATAGTTATTCAATACCAAGTAGGCCTAGTATGTATAAAATTGTTATGACACTTCTGTTGTTGATACGTATGTAATAATTTTCTTCTTCTTCCAGTAATGTGCCTGGCACCAAATGGGGCATTATCGCACATGAATAATAATAAATAACTAAAACAATCAGTGACAAAAAAAGAAATTGTTGATCGCAACTTAATATAAAACGAATGCATAGCCATTTTTTTCTTTATTTTATCCAGTAATTTATCAAAAGTTTACCAACTCAAATAATTTTCAATAAAATATTCCGTTTGATATTTTGAATCGGCTTTTTGATATACAGTCATCAGGTCCAGGAAAATCACTATATTTAGCTATATAGCTACATCTACATATAGATAAAAATTATGTTTTTATTTGACTTTTTCAAAATATTTTTGAGCCAGGAGTGACCTACATGTAGCTGCGTGGTATTCTACACTCGCAGTGAGTCACTAGAAAAAATAGAGCATTTGATATCTAGAGAATTTGCTCATATTTATGGGTCATGCAATATCAGCTAAGCTGAGCATACTTTTGTTTATCAGAAAAAATTCTAATTCTATTCAAAATTCATAGGCGTTATAAGCAAATTGAAAGGGGTGGCTAATCCAACAAAAAAGGTAAACTCTAATTTTCTATGCCTATATTTTGTTCTTTGCAAAAAAAGGGGGCTAAGCCCCCCCCCCTCAATTCTGACGTCTATGAATATTTAGTTATACAAAGGATCGAGAGATATAACTGCAGGAGGATGTTCCCTGTGAGTAGTTAAGAAAGATAATCTGCATGGTGACCCTGTGTTTAGTTGCACCTGCCCAGTTTCTTTATTTGCAGGCGGTTGAATATAAATAACCAATAATTCTTTATATATGCTATGGTTGAGTATGTACTATGTAACCCGTCAATAAGGAGTGTTGGTTATTTTTAGGATGGATGTTTCATGATCAGGTTGTGTGTACTTTTAGACTTGTATGATGACATTTTTAAAAAATTATTAATCATGTTTTATACTATGTGTCATTATGTATGAACTTGTCAGTATTTATGAACTTAGCTAATTGTTCCTATTTCTGAGTAAAATTTTTTTTTACCAGAAATTCCCGACCTTAACAATGTTGCAGTGGAAGAAGTTGTGGACTGTGCTTCAGACACTGACACAGATGATGATAGTCATCATGATACACAAGAACAATCCATCCCATGGGACAGTGGACGTCATATTGTTGAATTGGGAGTTCTCGCTAATGCGCTGGCAGCGTGCAAGAACTGCTCCAGTCCACTTCAGCTGTCCCACACCACTTCAATTAAAACTTACGGTCTTGCAGCTATTTTAAAGGTTTGTTTACATTTGCATAAATTATGTGTAAATTTTACATACTGTATACAGGGAAATTTTCGCTCTTTCGCCCTCTTATTGCTTCGGCGAATTCAAAACGGGGCGAATTTAAATAACACAGAATAAATTTTTTAACAGAACTATGAATGGGCGAATTTAAAACGGGGCAAAACTGTTCGCAAGTGCAAAAGGGTGAAAATAAGACGGGGCAAAATAACCCTGTATACAGTACATGCATATATGCATGTCTGTAGATTTCAAACATAACAATAGAGATTATAATCTTCTTGATTGTAAGAAAACTTGTAATTGATGAGCAGTGGCGGATTTAAGGGGGGGGCGCACCCCCTTAAATTGTCAAAGTTAGCGTAAATCAAATATGTCTAAGATGTTGTGTAAACAATATATGTATTGTTCTATGTCAAAAATGTGTATGCCTCAGGGTCTAAAAAATGAAATTAAGTAGCAAATATTTAACTATTTGATACATTGATGTGATTGTTTTAGGTTAATTAATTTTCCTGAATATGACAGAACCTGTATTTATACAAATAAAGCCCTTTAATGAGGCTGATCCAATAGCTATATCAACTTGACAGAAAAGCACATTGCTCATAAAGTACATGTATATATCAAAAATAACTGTCAAATTTTTTGATTTCATGAGGTGATCAATCCAGTGGCTTTCATGATAGTTTGCATAAATGAGGACAGGTGAAGTGTAAAATTCTTATGCAAGCCAATAGATTGATCATCATCATAAAATAAAAAAAATCTGACAATTATTCCTTATATTTACAGGCTATTATATATTTATTCAACCATTCCAAGTACGTACTACAAGTCCGAACTCCTGTCTATTTGTACAGCCCTTAGCAGCACATGATTTTTTTTTACTGTTCCTTTTGATGAACCAGTACATTTATGTAAAAATTACGTTACTGTGCATTATTTTACTAAAGGTTTATTTGTAAATTTATCTTGGACAAAGACATTGGAAATGTTAGTATACATTTATGTATGTACATAAATATGTAGTATGTACATGTACACATTAACATACATGATTATTGCATATTTAATATAAAATCTTATTCATGTGATCATTAACGGTGCATTTTATTTTGCAGGTTCCATGTAGCAATGCAGATTGTAGATATTTGAACAATGTCCCTACAGGAAAACAACATGGAAAAACCCATATTTGGGATATAAATACTAAAATAGCAAATGGTAATTTGAACACTAATTGATATTAATTTGATTATTGATTATCTGAATATACTTTGAAGATAAATATTTAGAGAAATAAAATCGTTATCCTCACAGAAATGTTAAATAGTTTACCCATATTCCATGTATTTAATTTGACTTCATTTTTTGTTTGGCAGCTTTGATTTATGCCGGTGTGGGGGTTTCCCAAATCAACAGCATTTTGTCAGCTATAAATGTTCCCCCTGTTCAACATAAACTGATGAGTAAGAGGCAGACAGAAATTGGACAGGCAGTGGAAAAAGTTGCACAAGATTCTGTTCTAGAAAGCCTAGAAGAAGAATGTGATGCAACAGAAAGGTATAATAATTTCCTCATAATCTCATAATTTGTTGTCAACTTTAAACTTCGCCATAACTTTGGAATCATGAGAGATGGTGACTTTATATTTGGTATGCATACTCCACTAATTAAGTTCTTTCAAATGACACAAAGGTAAAGGACTTTGTGACCTTGAATGTGATCTATATGCTAAAAGTAACCGTGTAAGTGGAAATTTTAGCAAGACGCAAATTTAGCGATTTTTCCTTGAAAACTTGTAATTCATTTTTAGTGAGATGATATTTTAGCGATTTTAAAATGCATATCAATGAAGCTATTAAAAATAAAACGCAATTAACTTTTAGCGATATTCAATTTTATCGATTTTGGCACCCTCGCTAAAATTCTACTTATAGTCGGTATCTTTTTAGAACTTTGTTGTTGCCAGGGTGCAAAGTGTTTCACAAACACACCGACTTTGGTGATATCTTGTTTACACATAATGTACCTCTTTATATATCACCAAAATCTGCAATAACTTTAAAATGTTTGACTAGTGATGCCAAATATATGATGATTATGTAAAACCATTTTCAGAGAAACTGGTCAGAGGGAGATATGTGTCTAGGTAGATGCAGGGTGGCAAAAGAGAGGCAGCGGAAAAGCATATGACAGTTTGTCCGGTAATTTGATTGCTTTAAGCAAACATACTTACAATGAATTAATGCTTATATCGAAGTGATTTTCATTCCCTGTGGGTTTGAATTATTGTAAAAAGATAAAGGATATAACAAAATACATTCATAACGAAGCAAAATTTGCTAATTGCCCATCCGTGGCATTTTGTTTTAAGTGTATTTTACTTAACATTGCAGACTTGAGGTGACAATATGCATCAAAGATTACAAATGCTGTGTCATACTGATTTTTCTTGTCCATTTTTAAATATTTACACTTGCTATGTTTTTCTTTAAATCCAACAGTGTACTTGTACATGTCTTAAAAATGATATATTTGTTGTAGGACATGCAACTATGATTGGGACACAAACAGGAAAGGTGGTTGGATATAGTGTTCGAAACAAGACATGTCGTATTTGTAGCAATGCATCTAAAAGTGGAACTGTTCCTAAACCACATGACTGTAGACAAAATTGGAATGGTAAATATGAATAAAATTTAATAGATTGACTAAAAAAAGCATAGATGAAACCTCTTTTTCAAGTATTTCAATCTACACACCATTTAATGCCTGATGAAATTGACAATTTGGTATCCATTGTATGCCAGCTTCTCTGATAACATTTTATTTCTGTAGTACGTCTGTCTGTCCATCTGTAAACTTTTTCCGAGCCAAGAATGTGCTCAGATGAATGGTTTTGCCCATGGACCTTTTGTTTTTATATCCGGCAAAATAATTAAATAATCTTTGGTCATTTAAACAGGCAGCGCAAAGGCCATGGAACAAGACATGATTGTCGAAATGGTAAAGGAGAAAGTGGATGAAGGGATACATACAGCTGCTATTGTTGGTGATGATGATGCATCAGCTATTTCTAAATTACACCAGACAGTTGACCAGAAAATTGAAAAAAGATCAGATAAAAATCATATTAAAAAGAACCTGACCAATAGCCTCTACCTTCTTAAGCGCACTTACCCAACTTTATCACACAGAGTAATCAGGTGAGGTTTTCAATACAGTATAATATGAATTATTTGCTTATCTATAACCTTTATAGTTGATGAGGATAACAATTGTAATGGCCAGACATTTTCATATAAATTTGGTACTTTCCACAATTAATATAATGCACAATATCATCTTGGCCAACACGCCATGCACACCAGGCCAATTTTTGAAAGACCAAATATTGCATTCATTTAAATTTTAAATCAATAACCTCTTACAATATGGTATAAATGTATATTTACAGATATATTCAAAAATGTTGGGCCTACATGGTATCCCAAAATAAGGATAACCCAGAGGGAGTAGCAGTTGGGTTAGACGCCATGTGGAAGCATCCCTTTGGAGATCATACTCATTGCTCGGAGTGGTGCCAGCATAAGAAAGACCCCCACAAGCTGTACAGACAGCTCCCATTTGGAAAGTGCCTTACTGACAAAAATCTGCAGAAAGCGCTCGCCGATATCTTTTCCAAATACAAGAGCCACTGCCAAAAAATTTCCAAACTTGGATCCACACAGGCCAATGAAAGTTTAAACAACACAATAGCATCAAAAGCTCCCAAGAAAAATCATTATAGTGGATCTGGAAGTCTATGGTTTCGAGTATCTGCAGCTGTTGCGCAGAAAAACATTGGGCACAATTATGTATCTAAGGTATAATCAATATTCATCAGTTGTGGAGAAATGCACATTCAATGTATATTTTACCATATAATTGCAGTTAATGAAATCAAAATCAAACTGTATGTAACTTTAATTTTGATATAATTATATATTCATAATAATTGTCAAAATACATGTACATGTATTAGCGTTTCAAGTGTATCTCTATGAATAAACCATTTCAGGTAAATACAAGGACTGGATTATCTCCAGGTGCTTACACCAAAAAGTTGGCTCTGCTTAGAGATTTACAACATAGAAAGAGGAAGGCACTGGACAGGACAAGAGCTGCAAAGAGGAGAAGACTGGAATTAAAAGCCAAAAGGTAAGTAAATAATGTGATGTATCAGTAAAAAATCTATTTTTTTGGTGGTATGTACAAATATTTTTAAACATATCCCCTAAGCTGTTAACTGTTTATAACAACAATTCTTTTTTTTTCTATCAACTTTTCTAAAGTAGCTGGAATATACTAGTAAGCATAAATTTTTAATTTCATGGATTTAATCTAGGAATTATGAGTCAAAAAGTTGAAAGAAAGCTAAATCTATAGATTTAAAGTTATGTACAATATTTATTCTGCATTAATTGGTTTTAATTTATATCAGCGTTTTGAATTCTTTCACTTTTCAATATACCTGATAATTTCAAAATCAGAAAGGTATAAGAAGAACATAATTAAAAGTATGCTCTTTCTAGGTTGCAAAAAAATGCATGCCAGGAGACCAGGGAGGGAATAACATACAGCTCCGAGATTGACATAAGTGGAGAGAATCGAGATGTTACAGAAATTCCTCCTCCCATTCTCTTTCCAACGCGAGAACCAGTACAATTGTCCCAAGAATATGTTCCAGTTTATTTCGATTTGGAAACAACTGGATTAGGTATGATCAACTATGGAGTTTATCATACAGTTATGTGAAATATATATTTGAAACACAAATAAATATACAATTATTAAACTTCCCTGATTTTTTAATGTCATATTCCCAAGTCATTCTTGACACCTCTATTATATTTTTACAGCAAGGACTTCCCACATTACCCAGATAGCAGCTGCAGCTGGAGAGGAACGGTTCAGTTGTTTTGTATTTCCAAAGAAGCCCATATCCCCACAGTCCACAAATGTTACTGGCATATCCATCAAGGACGGGAATATGTACCACAATGGCAGAAAAGTTGATGCTTCATCTATTTCAACTGCAGTTGATATGCTGTTGAATTTCTTTGAAAAATTCCATAAAAGAGTTATTCTTGTGGGACACAATGTTGAGTCATTTGACTCGCCCATTCTAATGTATGCTTTAGATTCTTGCAATAAGTTAGACTGTTTTTCTAACATTGTTGAGGGGTTTATTGATACTTTGAAACTTTTTAGAATGGAGAGGCCTGGTCTTTCTTCTTATAGACAGGAATTCTTATGTGAAAACCTTGCAGGTATAGGTTATGAAGCACATGATGCTCGCAGTGATGTTGTTTCTCTTCAATCTTTGATATGTTATCTAAATATTGATGTATTGAATGCAAATGCAAGCTGTAGGTCAGCATCCTTTACAACCACAAGTGCTGTAGATTTTTACAAGTATTCAAATGTTGTGCAAACAAATTTACCATCATTACAACCTTTACTCAACCACAAAATCATCAGCTGTCCAATTGCAAAAAAGATTGCAGGTAGTGGATTACAGTACAAACATCTTGAACTTGCTTTCACTCGAGATCCAGTAGAGGGTATTTATTCTTTGTTCAGTGAACAGAGTGGGAAGTCTGTCAGAGTTACAAAGTCAAAGAAAGTCATTGCCAAACTTGTTAATTATTTTGCATCAATGAGAGAAAGTTAACTTGTACCTAGCAGTACAGTGTAGTTGTTACATTGTGTTTTGATGTTGTACCAGTACTTTGATGACATGTATTTGTTCTAATTTAATGTTCTATTGCATTACATGTTCTAATGTCCTGATATCAAAACATTTACATTTTCTTTTGAAGAGAAATGTTTCTGAATTATAAATCAAATGAATATATGAGAATTATTTGATTAAACCAAGTTTAAGATTAGTTCTTGTAACTGCAATATTTATGTCAACTTACATGGTAAAATTCTGCATTTACAACTTGTACTTTAACTTGTTAAATGTAATTCTAATGAATTTAATTTTCTTCAAATTCAAATATATTTTCAATTGAATTGCATTCAAATCGTTGTTTGTTTGTTTTTTTTTACATATAGTGTTTATATATATAAAATATACAGTAATATGTTATATTGCCGGTATACAAAGTATACAATGAATTACTTTTTTTTCAAGAAGCAATAATATTTGATTTTTTTTTCTATAATTACATAAATGCGAAAGTTATTCATGAATACATTAAAACAATAGCAAAAGGATAAATTGCCCCCCAAAACAAAAAAATATTCGTTTTAATATTAATATTATGAACCTATTCAAGTTATATAAAAAAAAATTAGAGTTTTTATGAAAAAAAGAAAAAAATTTACAATTCAGTCATTTTGACGTTGATTGATGGACTGAATTTGAAAGTACCAACTGATGTTTTTGATTGAAAACAAGAGGTGTTTGTGAAACACTATCCGCCCAGTGGCAAGTAAGTTCGAAAATGTTTATTGTAGCATATAGGTCACAGTCAAGGTCACAAGGTCATTGACCTTGGTGTTATTTGAAAGAGCTTAATTAATGGAATATGCATTCCAAATATTAAGTCTGTATCTTTCACGGTTCAAAAGAAATGGTGAAAGGTCAAGAAGCTATTTTTAGCGTAAAGGTCACAGTCAAGGTCACAAGGTCATTGACCTTGGTGTCATTTGAAAGAGCCTAATAAGGAAAGTATGCATACCAAATATTAAGTCTGTATCTTTCACGGTTCAAAAGTTATGGCGATGGATAACTGACAGCCAGAGAGACAGACAGATAAAGAGACAAACAGACAGACAGGGCAAAGACAATATGCACCTGATCTATCGATTCGGGCGCATAAAAGTATAAATATATTTTTTAAAAAGTTTGTCTCTGTTAATTTTTTTTGGTAAACAAGAAAAAGAAAAAAAAATTAAGAACAAATATATCAGCTCATGAATAATAATAGAGGAAATTCAGGCTGAATATGATGAAAAGGAACTGTATATACACTGTATGTGATCTTGAACTCTCTCGTCTATTAATATATAAAGCATAAACCTGTTAATGGTTCATTTCAAAGTAAAAAAAAGTTTATCTTGAAAGTGTATATAGATCTATTGTCATCATATGTTACTTAAAGAGGAAAAATTAGAGGAAATTCAAGTGAATCAGAGAAAATTCGAGCTAACTCAAAAAAACGATCATCTACCCCTATGTTTCATTATTTCATATTATAGAGGGAACCATATGTCATTCACATCCTCTGTATCTAAAAAAGTTTAAGACTTTTTCTTAATTTTTTAGAGCTTCATTAATAGAGACTATTTTATACCAAAACAATACCGGAAAAATGTAGGGCGTGGGTTACTATTTCTGATTTAATTATTGTGTTGAGAGTCTACCAAAGTCAAAATACATTATATTTGGTTGAGTTTTATATTTATGATATAAACTTGATGATTTTTATTTGGTATTCTGGCATCTTATATATTTCATATCTATCAAAAGATGGATGTTCGATTTTCGCACTGTGATTATGAAAAAAATCACCATTTAAACCCATGCTCTTTATAAAGCCACATATTTTAAAATTTAGTGCATATACATCCATTCAAAAGTGGCTTGGTTTTAAGAGAACTGATTCAAGATGATAATTAAATTGGTTTAAAGAAAAGTTCTTTTCACAAGGATTACATATTTGAAATACGAAAGCCCTAGTACTTACCGTTCAAACGTTATGGCTATTTACTATGTTCAAGACGACCCCCCCCCCCCTTTTGAAGCACACAGCCATGTAGAATACACAGATATAACATATACAACTTACAAGTAACTTTTTAAAATCTTCATTCATAAAATTCAGTTCCCGTCATGTGATATTTTGCCATCATTCATTCTCCTTCTGTTTTGTCTCTTGAATTTATAAATATTTTATTTTATCTATATAAAAAAAATAACGATTGTCAGCTGCATTTATTATCATTTTGCGTTTTCTGGTATATCTATCACTTGTATATTATTCATTTCATTAGATAGTGCAAGTATAAATTAAAAAAATTGGTACGTCATTTTCATAGTTTTTATTCATTCAAAAATCTTTTGATCCGCTCCTGAAGGTTCGCGAAGCCTTGATCACCACTGTATACAAAACATTCATCTCGCCGAAAATGTTCATGATTCCGCTAAACTGAGAAAGTTTACACATGATTTATCATCTCATAACATACATCAGCTCTCTGCAATGCACAAATACTCGAATTGAAGGGGAAAATTCAGGAGTTATTGATGAGTAAAATTCAGGAGTTATTATGTCGCCCCGAACGAAGTCGGGGACGACATATTGATATTGTACGCATGTTTTTTTTATCCAGGCTGTTTCTCGGAGATGGCTGGGACAATCTTCCTGAAACTTTCCTCAAAGGACGATCACTGGTTGTAGTTGTGCAGTGAGGTTGTTCAGTTCCATTATGTCTACCGTTGCCATGGAAACCTGTAAAAAGCGACAAATTTTGTCCGTGAGTGTTCTCTCTGGTCCCTTAAACGTTCGTCATGAAACTTTTCTTATTTTAATGATTAGTATCTGTAGTTGTGCGCCTCGCATTTAAAATTTTCAAATAATCGATTATTGCCATGGAAACCAGGTGAGAGTTAAAATTCTTTAATTTCGATTTTCTCAATAACTACTCAGCCAATCGTTTTGAAACTTTCAATGTTTATTCCTTGCAATGTGTCAAAGTGATTTCTACTTTCAAAATAATTGTAATGAGTCGCTCACGGTTGCCATAGAAACGAAACAGAAAAAAAGATTCAGATGTACACATGTGTTCTCCAAGGTCTAGGTCAAAGGGTCAAAGTTCGTCGTATCCAATAAAAGTTCTTTTCACAAGGATTACATATTTGAAATACAAAAGCCCTAGCACTTACCGTTCAAACGTTATGGCTATTTACTATGTTCAAGACGACCCCCCCCCCCTTTTGAAGCACACAGCCATGTAGAATACACAGATATAACATATACAACTTACAAGTAACTTTTTAAAATCTTCATTCATAAAATTCAGTTCCCGTCATATGATATTTTGCCATCATTCATTCTCCTTCTGTTTTGTCTCTTGAATTTATAAATATTTTATTTTATCTATATAAAAAAAAAATAACGATTGTCAGCTGCATTTATTATCATTTTGCGTTTTCTGGTATATCTATCACTTGTATATTATTCATTTCATTAGATAGTGCAAGTATAAATTAAAAAAATTGGTACGTCATTTTCATAGTTTTTATTCATTCAAAAATCTTTTGATCCGCTCCTGAAGGTTCGCGAAGCCTTGATCACCACTGTATACAAAACATTCATCTCGCCGAAAATGTTCATGATTCCGCTAAACTGAGAAAGTTTACACATGATTTATCATCATTTAACATACATCAGCTCTCTGCAATGCACAAATACTCGAATTGAAGGGGAAAATTCAGGAGTTATTGATGAGGAAAATTCAGGAGTTATTATGTCGCCCCGAACGAAGTCGGGGACGACATATTGATATTGTACGCATGTTTTTTTTATCCAGGCTGTTTCTCGGAGATGGCTGGGACAATCTTCCTGAAACTTTCCTCAAAGGACGATCACTGGTTGTAGTTGTGCAGTGAGGTCGTTCAGTTCCAATATGTCTACCGTTGCCATGGAAACCTGTAAAAAGCGACAAATTTTGTCCGAGAGTGTTCTCTCTGGTCCCTTAAATGTTCGCCATGAAACTTTTCTTATTTTAATGATTAGTATCTGTAGTTGTGTAACTCGCATTTAAAATTTTCAAATAATCGATTATTGCCATGGAAACCAGGTGAAAGTTAAAATTCTTTAATTTCGATTTTCTCAATAACTACTCAGCCAATTGTTTTGAAACTTTCAATGTTTATTCCTTGCAATGTGTCAAAGTGATTTCTACTTTTAAAATAATTGTAATGAGTCGCTCACAGTTGCCATAGAAACAAACAGAAAAAAAGATTCAGATGTACACATGTGTTCTCCAAGGTCTAGGTCAAAGGGTCAAAGTTCGTCGTATCCAATAAAAGGTCTTTTTACAAGGATTACATATTTGAAATACAAAAGCCCTAGCACTTACCGTTCAAACGTTATGGCTATGTACTATGTTCAAGACGCCCCCCCCCCCCCCCCCACTTTTTTAAGCACACTGCCAGGTAGAATACACAGATATAACATATACAACTTACAAGTAGCTTTTAAAAATCTTCATTCATAAAACTCAGTTTCCGTCATATGATATTTTGCCATCATTCATTCTCCTTCTGTTTTGTCTCTTGAATTTATAAATATTTTATTTTATCTATATATAAAAAAATAACGATTGTAAGCTGCATTTATTATCATTTCGCGTTTTCTTGTATATCTATCACTTGTATATTATTCATTTCATTAGATAGTGCAAGTATAAATTAAAAAATTGGTACGTCATTTTCATAGTTTTTATTCATTCAAAAATATTTTGATCCGCTCCTGAAGGTTCTCGAAGCCTTGATCACCACTGTATACAAAACATTCATCTCGCCGAAAATGTTCATGATTCCGCTAAACTGACAAAGTTTACACATGATTTATCATCATTTAACATACATCATCTCTCTGCAATGCAGAAATACTCGAATTGATGGGGAAAATTCAGGAGTTATTGATGAGAAAAAATCCAGGAGTTATTATGTCGCCCCGAACGAAGTCGGGGACGACATATTGATATTGTACGCATGTTTTTTTTATCCAGGCTGTTTCTCGGAGATGGCTGGGACAATCTTCCTGAAACTTTCCTCAAAGGACGATCACTGGTTGTAGTTGTGCAGTGAGGTCGTTCAGTTCCAATATGTCTACCGTTGCCATGGAAACCTGTA